CCACCTACTAAAGAGCCTCAGACACGCTGATTTTGGGGTGATTTGGGTGGGGAACTAACCGGGGCCAGCAGAGCTCCTGATTTGACCCATGAGGCTGCTGTCCCTGAAAAAACCTGCTCACCAGGCTCACTGCTGGCATTATATTGCAAAATTCTAAACTAGAGAGGGCATGGGCTGGGCTGCATCTGTATGTGGCTGGGCTCAGACTCCCATCATCCCTGACCATTGGGTTATCCCTGACCATTGGGACCATGTTGGCTAATGGGAGTTGGAATCCAACAACACCTGAATCTCCAGTGGTTCCTTATTGCTGTTTGAAATGGTCAAAGCCTAGCTCAGAGGTGACTGCTTTTCTTAACACTGAGTATAGTGTTAGCTAGGCTTTTAACATGCTGTGTATGTCTGATAATGCCAAGTCCTGGAGCTTCTTGCACATGGCAGGGTTCTCCCCTTATGCTCCATCTAAGCTCTTAAATTGACATGGTTGAAGCCCCTCTAGCTCCTGTCCTCCCTCCTAAGGCTTCCTGCCCTACTGTAGCCCCTCTTCATATAGTCAAACTCCATAGGTTCAAGGTTACCACCTGGGGAAAGTGTTTTGAGGTGCTTACTGATTTGGTTCCTTGGAAAAGTAACCGGAAGTGCATCTGTGAATCTGTGGTGTCTATTTAAACTCCCTCCTCGCTCAACAAACTTAACCTTATCTTCTTCCTTCTTTCCTTCCTTCAATGCTTCCAAATTAAGGATAACTGCACCAGCAAGGTATGATGATGGAGGAAGGGTAGCTGCTGTCAACTAAAATGTAATATAGCCTGAAGACCAGGGGTAGAGAAGCCGTGACCTTCCGAGATGTAGCTGGACTCTAGCTCTCATCAGCCTTCCCCATTTATCGTTCTGGCTAGGTTGATGGGAGTTGAAGTTCAGCAACATATGGAGCGTTGCAGGTTCCCCCACTTCTGGTGCTGACTATGTGGGTCTTTAGACCAGAAGAAGCTAGGAGCAGGGGTCCACAGGGTTGCACTGGTTCCATGTGTAAGGATGCATTTCCAGTGGCTTTAGAATCTCTTTGAAGGGGCCTCAAAAGCCATCTAGTCCAGCCCCCTGCCTATGCAGGAAATTCACTTGCTGCACCATTTACTTGCTTTTATGTTATTTTGTTGGTTTTAGCTTGTATTTTTGTTTTAAGGGATGTTGTTGCCACACTGTACATAGTTTATACCACTTACAGGTGTGGTGTTGTTTTTTTTAAAGAAAACTTAAAGTGGTTTAGAAATCCTTTAAATAAATGAAATAAATATTAAACACAGTCACCAAAATGGGTGTTTGGGCTCAACTGTATAAGTGACCGTCTCTGAAAAGGAGCAGTCTGATTTATTTTTATTTTTAAAAAATCGTATACTTCCAACTTTCTCAAAGATGCTGTTTGCTGTGGTCTCCCATCCAAGGGATTAGCCAGGTCTACAAATGCTTTGCTTCAGCATTGAGTCCCTCTAGATCACTCTCTGGCCCTCAAGGGAAAGGATTCCTGATTCACGAGAGCACAAAGTGGATCCCTGCTCCTGTTGTAACTAACTTGGTTTTCCCTTTCTTTAGCAGTGCAAGCAACATGCACTTACTTATTGCTGCTTCTTCTGAAACAAAACTTTAGACCAGGGGAAGTAGTGGTCCTCCAGGTGTTGTTGGGTTCCCATCTCCCACCACTTCTGACCACTGGCCATGTTGGCCAGGCTGATTGGAGATGGAGTGTAGCAACACATGAAGGACCACAGAACTTCCCACCTCCCTGCTTTCAAAGTTTCTGGTTCCCACCAACCAGAGCAGAGCATATGCCCGACTAACTCTTATTTGCCATTAAAACCTGGGAGTCTGCACTCTTCTCTCTCCTACTGTTGGCTCTCAAATGAGTAAGAAGGGGCATTTGCTGAGCTGCTTGTGTGTTAGGGTGGTTTGCATGCAATAAATAATGCATTGCTGAGGTTGCTACTTTACATTTGAAGTTTGTGCAATGGAAGCATTCAGATTGATGCAATTGAAACTGACTTCTGATTAGGCCCACTCTTTCCTTTCCCACCTCTACTGCTTTGCCTAAAAGTCAGATGGCACTTGCTGCGGTCTCCCATCCAAGGGTGACCAGGTCTAAAAATGCTTTGCTTCAGCATTGGGTTCTCCTAGATCATTCCATTGTAGCCCAAGGGAAGGATTCTTAATTCACAAGAGCACAGCTGCTTTTAAAAAGTGCATGTGGGAAGGAGTTTGTGGGTGTGGGTGTTTCCTGCATAGCATATGTTTCAGTCCTGTGCCAAAAGTAGGACTTGAACCCACGTTCAGGAGCACCTTTCACTGCTGCACTGTGCCAAAATCTACACAGACTGCTTCGTAGCTGTTTCCTTCCTGACAGTGTCTGTCTGTGTTTTCCTGTGAACACTTCCTAAATCCTTCTAATCTTCAACCAGGTACAAGATTAGTCTGTGTGGGTGGGAGGCAACATAGAATTGGACCTCTCTAGTCTAATTTTGCTAGCTAAGGCTTTCTGACCTCTCTCTGTCCTCAGTAATCTCTCCCCATCCCATCCCCTTCAGTAATTTTAAATGCTCTTCCATCTGTCTGTACCCACTTCATTGGTGGCTGTTATCCTTTCTTAGGTAAAAGCCCAGCGGTATGTAAGCACAAATATAATTCAGCTGATGATTTACTCAAATATAATTCAGCTGATGATGCTTCTTGGCTTGCTGAAAATTAATTTCTAAATAAAACAGAATACCGTTGATCTAATCTTAGTACCGTACTCCAAATATGTCTGGCTTCAAGCTTGCAGAGTGTTGTGGAAATATCCAGAGTCTCTTTGGATTAACTTCATAGCTTTGGTTTTTACTGAGGTGGTCAACTTATATCTAGGTTGTACCACTTGGGAGTGTAGTTGAGCCCCCGCCCCCCCTTTTTTAGAAAGCAAAAACACAGTGCATGTAGAAGCCCAGTGTGTCAATTCGAAGGATTCCAGCCTAACCTTTCTCCCTGAATTTCATGGACTTTTATTTTATTTACCTATTTATTATTTATTAAATTTATATATCATCCTTCATTCGAGGATAAACTATACAACTTACAATGTTGTTTCACACGTTGCTATATTTAGCTTCTTAGTTTTCTATCCTGTCTGCAATTATTTCATCTGCACAGTCGATTTAACTCAGTAGGTGGACAACTTTCTGTTCTCTTGGCAGAGCGGAAGATGTTATCTTCAGAAAGTGGCCCGGGGTGTGTGTGCATATGTTGATCAGTCAGGTTCTGTACTAATGGTGGTTGCTAACAGGTGCTTCACTCTTATAGCATATGTGATTTCAGGCAAAGCCAGAAAATAATAATACAAGTATGTGTGGAATCTCTGGGTTGCATCAAACTAAGTTTTACTCAGAGCAAACCCATTGAAATGTATGGACTCAAGTTTGCCATGTCAATTCATTTCAATGGGTTTGCCCAGCATTGGATGCACCCTTCTTTGTGCTGCAACGCAGAAACATTTTCCGTGTGTGCAAAACAATGGGGAAATGTTTTGTAGTGAGAATTTTTGTTGTGGGGCTTGATGGGGCATATCGGCTGCCAGTTGACCACATCTGTTTCAACTTGAAATGTCCTGGTTGCGATCCAAAGACTGGCAGGGCTTTTTCATGCACATGTGCAACTTTATAGGCTTATGCTTCCATGACAGGAGCCCAACGTACTACAAGACAAGCCACTTTTTGAAGTAAAGGGCTCTTTTGAAATCCCTTTGCTACACAGCAAGGCAGAATGCTGCTTGAAGAATGAGAAATTAAAAATCCCACTGGGTGTGCTCTCAGGCAGGATGAAAGTAGTTCATGAGATCCCAGCTCTGAATCCTCTCCTCCTTTGCCCCCCCCCTTTTTAGATGTCTTATAACTTGGGTAAGATGGTATGTAGCATTTTAGCTGCCTACCTTGACGACTGTTAGGAATATATTAAAAACAGACACATTAATTTCAGCAGTTGCCTTCTTAGAAGCATTCAACCCTCCCTGTAAAACTCTTCTGCCTAATTGTTTAATGATAGTTTTTAAAGATCTGTTTAGTCTAACCAATTTAGACTAAAACATTGTAGCTTTAATTCTTGTATGCACTTGCTTCCTGAAGCTTTTGTTTCATTGTGAGATTATCTTGGCAAAAACATGCCTTCAGTTGTTGCTTCTTGAAAGGTTCAGGAAAACGCGTGCACACAACTTTGTGCAGACTTCCTTTTTTGTGTGTGGCAACTGGCTTTTAAATGCTAATGTCCTCTTGCAGAGTAAGAAGAAAAAGAAGACTGATTTTATACCATACAGGGATTCTGTGCTGACGTGGCTGCTTCGGGAAAACCTAGGTATGTTGACATAGCAGAATCTTGTCCCACCTTTTATTAGTTCCCTGCTAATTAGTAATTACCTTTCATTGTTTCACACTTGGTATTTTGGGGTGGGGAACCTTTGGCCCACCAGATGTTGCTAGACTACAACTCCCAGCATTACCTTTGTCAGTTGGCTGGGCTGGCTGGGATTGATGAGAATTGGAGTCCAACAAACATCTGGAGGACCACAAAGAGATATAGCAGGGAACCTCCTTTCTGGATGGTGCTTCTAGTTCCCAAGAGCCTTCAGGGGTCCTGTGCCCTTCCCAGGTGTTACTGCAATACAACCCCCATCATTCCTCATCATTGGCCATGCTGGCTGGGACGGATGAGAGTTGGAGTCCTGCTTCATGTGGAAAGCCACAGTATCCCCACCTCTGTGGTATTTCCAAGGTTCAATATTGTACACTGTGGCTGCATCTAATGAAGTGGACACTATTCCACGAAAGCTTATGCCCTTATAAATTTATTTCTCTTTGCAATGATACAAGACTTCCTGTTGTATGGCCATCACCTTTGATATATATATATATTATTTGGAGGTTAAAAAGCAGGTTTCTGGTCTTCATTGTTCGGAGGGGAAAAAGATACCTGAAGGTTAGATTTGGGATTATATCCAATACTAGTCCTACTCAAAGTAGACACACTGAAATTAATGGAAATGACTAATTTAGGTCCATGAATTTCAGTGGGTCTGCTATTAGTAGAACTAGGTTGGATACAACCTTAAAATATAATTTTCCCACTTATATATATGCTTTGTATATTGAGGAAATAAAAGCATTTAGGATCTTTAAAAGAGCCAGTTTAATCTCTTGTTGACTTTCCAATGCCTTGGCTGTGGAACCTGGATTTGTGACTCAGTCTGTCATTAGTTCTGTTAGCCGTCAACTTTGACTCCTGTTTAATTGGATACCCTTTTCTGCTTCATAGGTGGAAACTCAAGAACGGCCATGGTGGCTGCTCTGAGCCCGGCAGACATAAACTACGATGAAACACTAAGCACTTTAAGGTATTGAACGTGGTGTCAAAATGGGGGCAGGTCTGCTGCTTTCCCATCTAGTTCCCTTGTTTGTAGCATGGAAATGTGAAATGGAGGTTGATTCTGGTCTCTCTTATTCTACTCACCTTAGTTGTGGTAGTGTAAGGAAGTGCAGCAGAATCATATGAAGACTGTTTAAACTCCTTAAAAATTACATGCAGTGAGAGGAAGTGAACCATGAATAGGAAGTTGCCTTATACCAAGTCAGACCATTGGTTCATCTAGTTTAGGATTGTCTACACTGACTGACGGCAGGTCTTTAGGATTTCAGGTATGGGACATTCCCAGCCCTACCCAGAGATGCCAGGGATTGAAACTGAGACCACTGAGCTGCTTCCCTTTCCCAGAGGGGAATAACTATGTCATAGAAAGTGGTATCAGCTAAGGCTCTTGCACATTGCTCAGATTTGACCTTTAGATATGTGGCAGAGTTGTGGTGGTGGTGGTGGTGGTGGTGGTGTGTGTGTGTGTGTGTTTTAAAATGAACTGACCCTACACCTGTCTTTCCAGATACGCTGATCGGGCAAAGCAGATCAAATGCAATGCTGTTATCAATGAGGATCCCAACGCCAAGCTGGTGCGGGAGTTGAAGGAGGAAGTGACACGGCTCAAGGATCTCCTCCGTGCTCAAGGGCTCGGAGACATTATTGACAGTAAGTGGATTATACAGATTCAAGCTCCGGGCCTTGCTGTGGGAGATAACCCTCTTACTCAGCTTCGGAGCTGGGGGTGGCAGGCTGGGAAATCCAGGCACTTTGGTGGATTTTAAAGACTGAGGAGCACAGCAGGGGAAGAATGGAACCAAGTTCATGGATTCGGCAATCCCACAATCTCAACTTCATCAGCAGCATTTGCTTCAAACTCGAATTCTGTGTGGAGCCTTTCCAGGCTAACAGTGAGGCCAACAGTTTTGCTGAATGGTGTTCTGTATAGTCTTCCATCTTTCTGGAAACTTTATACATATTTTCCTACCCGTTAAACGGTGAATGCGGGGGCTCCCAGCAAATGGGTCCCACTGCAGGAAGTGAGCTAAAGCTGGGCCAGCTGCAGTCATTTCTTCCATCGACCCCCCTCACTTGCCTTCCAGCTCTCCATCCCGACAGTATCTTCAGGCTGTCAGTTTCCACTCCAACTGCCTTCCATTTCAGGGCCCCTGCCAAAGCAAACGAATTCAGATTCCATTTTCTTTGCCCTAAGTTTTGGCTGAGAGGTTGGAGCAGCTACGCTCCTACGTATGGATGATTTTGGCACAGAACAAGCAACCTGGTTTTCAAACCCCTTTATTGGATATCTGATTCCTCACTGCCTACCCACAGAGCACAGTAATGTTAAAAAAAAAACTCCAACAAAGTAGGAACATAAGAAGAGCTCTGCTGGATCAGGTCAAAGGTTCATATTCTGTTCTTATGTTGGCCTAGCCTCTGGAAGGCTTGCAAACACAAGCTGAGAGCAACAGTGCTCTCCTCACTTGTGATTCCCAGCAGCTGGAATTCAGAGGCACGTGGCCTCCTGGAAGCACACAGCCACAACAGCTAGCAGCAACTTATCCAGTAGATGGTGTATGCAAGCAAAGCAACTCTTGTCTCTTGCTTGGAAAGACAAAAGAGCTGCAGAGGATTGTGTTTCTGGGAATGCCTTTTCCATTGTTACATGGTGAAAATATTAAAACACCTCCCACCCCCAAGGAACAATCTTCCAAGAGCTTTTTATCCACCTCACAACATAGTGAGGTTGGCATTCCCCACGTCCTGGCCACAATGAAAATAATCGTTTGTTTATTTGTTTACTTATTTGTTCAATTTGTATACCACAACATCATATGAATACATCCGGTGGTGTGCAAATGACAAAAAAATGAAAACAAAAAATAAACAAATCAAGCAGATCAATATAAGCAAACATAGGTCTATATCCAACCAAGTCCCACAGGCAGTAGTCCCATTGAAAATAGTTGACCTTAGTCATGTCTGTTAATTTCAGTGAATCTACTGAGGAAGGGGCTGTACTGGCCTATGTGGTGGGGAGCAATTCATGGTCTGGGATGGAACCACCGTCCCAACACTCCCATTAGTGTTGAGAGAGTGGTTCCATCCCAGAACATGAATCGCTCCTGCTTAACATAATCTTGTCGTTTCTTTTCACTGCTCAGAGGTTGCCATGACATTCAGCAATGGGATCTGGCAACCACACAAAGCACCAGGAATGTAAGAATTTGGTCTCTGTTTGGCTAAGGATGGCTGTTTTTACAATGTGGGTGGCAGGGCATTTGTAAAAAATGTCTACTTATTTTTCCCGAGGGGTTGAGGGGGGAGGAAGGAAACTTTTAAAATAAGAGATCAGTGTATTTGTGAATGCATTTGAAGTAACTCTGACTTTAAGAATTGATGTTGAGCTTTGGCCTTTTGGGTTGTGGGTGCTTATTTGTCTGTCAAGAGACATTCTGACTTAATCACGCTTAATGAGGCCACAATCTGTATGCATTGCATGCCTTTGCCTTGAAAAGAATGGATGAAAGAAGAAAAGGCTGTGAAACAAACAGCATTAGATTTTTTGAGACCCCCCCTTCCCTGATTGTGACAAAACTAGGTAAATTGCTTGTGTTGTATTTGAGAATTTAATATTTTCTTTGTATCCAGTGCCTGGGCTTTTCTTCCCTTTCCTGTGTCAACTATTAATCCTAGATATATTACCCTTCTTGTATCTTCCCTTCTAAACTTCCTTTCTCCAGTTGATGCATTGGACGATTTCTCTGGAAGTGGAGGCAAATGTGTGTACTGTGGAATTAGTAACTTTTCTAACCTTTTTTGGCTTTTGCTGGGCCAGCTTTCAAGCAAGCTTTACATGCTGTTCCTCGCAGGGAAATCCCAGGCAGAACCTTTTAAAAACCAACATTAGCAGCATGGAACCCAATCTCTTTCTTTGGAACCCGGCCCCTTGCCAACCACTTCAATTTTTCAGGCTGCTTTTGGGCAGAGCGCAAACTCAAAGCTTGTATTTTAAGGAGTGGCTAGAGTGGGTTTGAATTAACAGGATTTGAGACCATAACTTTGCAAAAGTATGCAATTTATGGCAACAAATGAAGAAAGATGGTGGCATTTTGTTTTGGTTTTTGTAAAAGAAAACATGAACAAATACTGATTTTTTTTTTTTTAATTCCATTTTAAACTGTAAGTTCACTGCCAGCTGAAAAGGGCTGGAATTGGCACTTTTCAGTTTATTTTCATTCAGGACCGCCGCCCCCCAAGTGTTCCTCTCCCCCTCCCTCTCCCATCCCAATCCCCATGAAAAGATATTTCTCACATTTAAAAATAGAACCATACCCAACGATAATGAGGTAACGGGATATATAACGAATATGATTCATTAAGGCAGCACTTCTTTCCTTACTGTCTTACATCTCTTAGGGAAAGGAACCCTTTCCTTGTTTTATTTCAAATATACGTGGGAATTTGAATTGGATTTTCCTGGAAACGCAAGGGCAAACATTAAGATGCCATCTCTCTTAATCTCAGATCGAGGGCTATATCCAGTGCCAAATGTACTCAGATGATAGGGATATCTGTTGATTTAAGTAGGCCTAGTCCTGAGCTGGATTCAAACTACCATGCAAAAGGCCTCTATCTTTACAAGATGCAGTTGAGGTGACTTGAGTTGATTCCACCAGTGTGATGGGTTTTAAAAATTCCCTTAGCGAATGGGGAGCATGGTGGCTTAGCCCAAATAGTATTTCTTTATTTAGGGTTGTATTATTATTATTATTATTATTATTATTATTATTATTACTATTATTATTATTATTATTTACTTATTACATTTTTATACCACCCTTCATTCGAAGATTACAGGGTGATTTACAATATAAGCCCAACTATGTTATACTCAGAGTTGACCCACTGAATTTAGCAAACCTAAGTTAGTTGTGTCCATGAACTTCAGGGGTCTGTTCTGAGTAGAACTAACATTGGATATAATCAGTGCTATTTTTCTAGAAAAAGAGGTGCTGGAACTCATGAACGCCTCCCTTATTCTTTTACAATGGCAATGGAGCCCACCTGAGATGTGCTGGAACTAAGTTCCAGTGAGTTCTGGCTGAAAAAAGCCCTGGTTATAATACTAATTAATCAATTACTAGCAGCCTTGCACCTGACACTACTATGGAATTCTAAGAAACAAACAACAGCGCAATGTAGTACTGTCTGATATCTGTCTAATATCTTCATTCAAAAGGGCATTCGATTGTGTCCAAATGTAGACACAACCATGATCTCATCAACATGCAAAATCATCATGCAAAAATTTGTTGTGATTTCTTAAGATGTGCCCAGACACATGAGTGAACAGCTAGATGGACAAACTGTCCCTCCCCAATATAGACTATTATTAGAGGGGGGGGTTTACCCACCCTTCAACAGAGGTCCCAGGACAGGTTATAGCAATATAAAAATAGTCTGAAATCCAGCAGTTAGGGTCTTCTGGTGGTTTCCACACTGCGAGAAGTGAAGCTACAGGGAACCAGACAGAGGGCCTTCTCGGTAGTGGCGCCCTCCCTGTGGAATGCCCTCCCATCAGATGTTAAGGAGATGAGTAATTATATAACATTTAGGAAACATTTGATTGCAGCCCTGTATAGCAAAGATTTTAAGGTTTAATGTTTTATTTTGTTTTTATATGTGCTGGAAGCCACCCAGCGTGGCTGGGGAAACCCAGTGAGATGTTTGGGATACAAATAAATTATTATTATTATTATTATTATTGATGTCATTTTAAACAATTGACAATCAGAAGACTAGGGTGTTGTGTTTGTGTGTGTACACCTACTTACACATACAAGCACACACACAAACACACACATATGTATCAGATACTCTCGTCTGAGTTGCAGCCTTGCCCGTTACTCCTGCCATTCCTAAATGAAGAAAATAACATGGTGGATGAGAGAGATCTGTCTGGAATTTCCTTGAACTCTGATACTTGGCAGTGTAAATTTTTCCAGAGTGGCTCTTGCTATGGGGCATTTTTTCTCTCGCTCTCTCTTTTTATTTATTTTTTTAATTGATGCTGCTTCCAGCTTGCCGGCTTTTAACTCTGCCTTGAGCACCAGCAGCTGCAGCATCATGGAGGGAGAACCATGCATGGCGCAAGGGTGCGATGATGCTCTGTGCAAACTGTGCAGCAGTCTCAGCAAGTGCAACTCCTGTCTCCTCCCTGTCGTCCCCCCTCCCGCCCCGCTGTGAACGCATGAGTTATTCCACAGGAGGTCTGGTCAGCTCCATCTTTGCCCTGTCCGCTTGCCGAATCCTGGCGGCTCTCTTGTTCCCGAATCTTTCCTCTCTTTGCAACCTCCCTGCTCTTTTCCGTATTTATAGATGGCAGTTTTCAAACCAAATTAAAACTCACCCCACATCTTATTTAAAAAACACAACTTACTTGTTGTACTCTGTACATATTTGACCTGTTAAGCATAGGCTGAAGAAGGAGGAAGTGCCCAAACATGAGTTCTTCCTTCCTGAAACCCATCCTATCCAAAGATGAATGCAAGTCCCTATGTCACAACCTGGTCTGGTCATTAGTGGAAGAACCAGCATATGAAGCTGCCAATGGCCCATCTAGCCCATAGGGACACAGGAAGCCACCTTACATTGAATCAGATCCATTGGTCCATCTTGCTAGGCTGGCATTGCTAGTGGTGAGGGACGATTAGCTCTTAAAGAGCAGGTGCACGCCTCATAAGAACAGTCCCAAACTGGGGTGCCACCCTTGAAAAAGATCCTACCCCTCATGGATTCCAACTACCCATCAAGTGAGGAGGCACCTGATTCAGGGCCATGCCAAATGAGTGTAACAAACAGGCAAAGCTTATTGGAAGGACATCTGTTTCAGAACTGCCATCTAGTCCTATTAAACCTGTCTCTGTTGCTGCTTGTGTGCTACCTTTCTTATACGGGTGTCTCCTTCCTGTTTTTCCTCCCTACCTTCCTTTTTTCTGCTCTTCTCTCCTTGGCCTCTCCTCTCTCCATCCCTGTATTTCTGCCTCCCCTCCTGTCTGTTGCCTCCCTCCCTTCCTTCTCTCTCTCTCAGATCTGAAAGATTTTCAGAACAATAAACACAGATACTTGCTAGCATCAGAGAATCAACGTCCTGGCCATTTTTCCACAGCATCCATGGGCTCCCTCACTGCATCCCCATCTTCCTGCTCTCTCAGCAGTCAGGTGGGCTTAACGTCAGTCTCCAGTATCCAAGAACGGATCATGTCTACGCCTGGAGGAGAGGAAGCCATTGAACGTTTGAAGGTATGGACATGTCCTCCCTCTTCATATTCCTTAGTATCAGTCTCAGTACTCCAGAGCAAAGGACACCCTGGTTTCTGAGTGATGGGGAAGTTCCACTGTGGCCATCCTCCTTACTTCAGTATTTGCCATGTGTTTGATCTATACATTTGGGGTTGTGCCTGTTGGGTTCTGTGCACAGTTAACGACATGGGGTTGGGTGTATCTGTAGCCTTCTAACACAAAACCAGAGCACAGGCCTGGAAGAAGAATGAGCTTTCATTGTGGGGAGAAGGGACCTCAATTCCTTGCTTCTTAAAACTTGAGAGATATTTGGTCAGTGCTAGTGAAATCTCAGTAGCTTGGTGAGGACAGGAGCTAAGCAGAACATTCATTAGCAGGAAGATCTACTCACTCCTCCCTTTTCAAATGCAGAATGAATTGTGTGATGTATGCTGGGATATTCAGACTTACTTATTAGCATAGTTGCTTATATATTAATTGACTAAGTTCTTTGCCAGAACTTCCATTTGTTTAGAGTGCTGGACTAGAGTTGAGGAAGCCCTAGTCACCTTTTCTGGTGAGCCACTCTCATCTTTGAGCCTAACCTACCTTGCAGCAAGATTGTTGTGATGTGGAGCGAATGGGATATACAACCATCTCTGCTGCCTTGAGCCTCCTAGGAAGGGGGCAGAACAACAATTGAATAAAATTGAAAACTCCACACTGCCCTGAATCATTAACTTGTCAAAACTAATAGAAACCCCCCTTTTAAGCGTACACACAGCTGTGGGTTCGGTAAGAGTGGTTTCAATGATTGCTTTTTATCATTGACTAAATACTTGCTGCTGCTTGCAGGACGTTGTTGGCATCTCACTTTGTCTCCAAAAGCATTTCTGGGTGTAGTTTGCATATTTCCAAAGAGAGCAAAAAAAATACATTAGTGATACTTGCAAGGTGAACTCATGCCTTTTGGTAAATGCTAACTCAACAGCCATCTGATGGTTGGGAAGATTTGAAATCGATGCAGTCCTGGCTATGTCAAAATCATACAACTAAAACTGAGGAGCCAAGTCGTGGACTTCAAGTAGAAGTGCAGGGGGAGAGTAGTGAATAAATATATTTTTTTTCTCCCCACCACACCATAGTAAAACTCAGGTTCATCCAATGAAATTGATCAATTGGCAGGAGATCTGGGGCAGACAAAGGAAAGTCCATGGCATGATACTTAACAAATTAATGGCAATAGTGGCCACAAGATGTCATGATCCCCACTGGCTTGGTATCTTTCAATGTTGATCAGACTAATGCACAGGAAAATAAGGCTATCCATGCTTAATCTGTGTGACTTGTAGATCTGATGGCAGTTTGCCACTGAGTACCGATTACTGGGGAGCAAACACTGGAGAGAGAGATAGTGACTCCTTGTGGATTTCCTGGAGGCATCTGCTTATGTGCTATGCTTGGTAATGAGGTGCTGGGCTAGATGGATCTCTTAACACTTAGTTTCTTATGGATGCTTAAAATCCATTCATTCCTAAAGCAAATTTGTATGGAAATTCTTTGATCATCTAAAGTGTCTCTTAACAAAGCCATAAATTCTGAATGGAGCCAACTTGCTAAGCATGGGCCATGCAGTGAGGACTACGAGTATGTTGCATTGTTGTATCCTGCTTTCCTTCCATCGTGGCTTTTGAGAGGATGGATGTCAGGTTCCAAAGAGGTCCTCCCATCCAGGGACAGGGCAGATCCAGATCTGCTCAAATTTGTGGCTTCCTATATCTTCCGATTGTACTCTGGGACCATGCAGAGACCCTGTTTCAAGAAGGCCTCAATGCTGCTTCTTTGTCAGGCTAACAATATGGCACCCAGTGAGAGAGAGAGCATGACCAAAATGCCAGAACTCAAAATCAATTCAACCAGCATGATATATGGGACAGTTTTTAAATGCCTGGACCAAATTAGCCAAGAGCACCGACGTCAGAACTGCAGTAGGGATTGTGAATGTCCTGTGGAACATAGGAAGCTGCCTTGTACTGAATCAGACTATTGGTCCATCCCACTTAGTATTGTCTACACTGACTGGCAGAGGCTTTCGAGGTTTCAGACAAGGGTCTTTTCCCAGCCCAACCTGGAGATGCCATTGGGGATTGAACCTAGGACTTTCTGTGTGCAAGGCAGATGCTCTACATCTGAGCTACGGCACTTCCCCAATATGTGCATCCTTTGGTTGAGATTAAATTTTTATGGCAATGAACATTTGGAAACCCAAAAGGCCATCTAGCTCAATGCCTGCAGTGCAGATGAAGGTGGCATATGCTTCCTTAAGCATTTTTTATTTTTGCAAACAGGGCTAGTGTGCCTGTGTGGGATGAAGATTGAAATCCTTGGCCTTTTATTGGGATGTTCTTGCTTGCCTTCCTATAAAATAAGGATACTGGCATGTAAAGCCTCTGGTTGAGTGGCAGTCTTACAAATATCTTTCCATGTTGAGTTGAGCTGAGGAAAACGAAGAGTTTATTTCAGCAATAATAATTCAGTCTTTCCTGGAAGGGTCACATTGGAAGACGGAGCACCAAGACCTGGACCCTGGAGATTACAAATGTGAAGGGAGATTACAAATGTGAAGTGCTCACAGAATGCCTGCCCCCACCCCCATACATGGACAATGGAGGCTTTTGTCTATGGAACAGCATCAAAAGGGCACAGCAGCAATCTTTCGGCTTTTACCAAAGCCTCCCTCTCCTCCCCCACGGTTGGGCATGTGAAGCAGCAGGCGGGTTAATGTTGTGAATTTAAATACTGCCTCCCCCTTCTCCTTTTTCCCCTTCTTTTCCTCTTCCCACATTTGAAAAGCTGCCAGGGCAATTTGGATGGACTAGCACGCACATTGCACTTTTTACAAAAATGCCGTTGACATGGAGATAACAGTGCTGTCTCTGCATTTGCCTGGTGCTCTGTCATAAAGTGGTGTCTTCAAACATATTACCCCTCCCCCCCCCAACTTAATGTCTGGGCTGGCCTGCCTGTGAGTCTTCCCCCTTCATCAGCATTCAAGGCAACATCTCCGGCATTTTGAAGGGGAACGGGAGGATGGAAGCAGCTTGGCAAGGCAGCATCTTCTGACAAGTTAATGACTGAAGGCATCATGAGCTTCAAAATGACAAGCAAATAGAGATGTGGAAATGAGCAGATCATCTCTAGCCCCACTGGGGCATTGATAAATAAGAGTGTGTTTCCTGTTACAAGGGATTCCAGCCTCTCCCTTTTCACATAACCCCCCCACCAACCTTTTTTATTTCTTCCTCTGTTTTCTTGGCTCTTAGAGTAAACTTCCACAGCAGAAAAACAACCCTGATATTTGTCTTTTCCAAAGGGGGATGAGAGTGGGAGAAACATTCCCTCCCCTCCCACCAGTTGCTGTGGGAACAAACGACCATTTGTGCACAAGTTGCCAGACTTGCTGTTGAAGGGGGGCGGAAATCAGAATTCTGGAGTAATGTTGGTGTTGGACCTGCATGGTGTTCCTTGAAGGCTCTTTGGTGGTTTAGATTCCACCATGCCTTATGGTGGAGAACTTGTCATCCAGCCAGAACGACACATTTCCTTCTGTATTACTTCCTGGGGACCATATGCCAGTGGTGGGCAAAGCCGGAGGAAAAAGTGGGAGGAGCAAAGGATATGACCCTTACATCTGTACAACAGGCTCCATTTCTACTGTGCAAAAAAGGCAGAGATATTTCTATATGCACATTCCACACACCTCTCTCCATCCAAGCAGGTCAGAGGCATTATCAGTTAATTGGGCATAGACCAGGACATGGCTTGGGCAGAGTCCTGAAGGCTGGGTAGTGAGGCTGATGTTTCTCATCCCTGCCTTACGGGTTCTTGAAGATATTGGCGCCATTTGGCTGCTGGAGTCAAGCATCTACAGCATTAAGCTAAATAGTGGTGTAGCTCAGCATGACACAGCAGCAAAATGACCAGGGTGTGGGGGAGCGACCATGGCTGGCTCTCCTGGATTTTGCATGTTCATACTAGGCCATGGTTTGGCTTATCGTGACATGCAAACCAGGCTCCTTTGTGAAAGCATATTTGTACTTACGTACATGCACAAGTGTGTGCATCTGCCTGGGGAAGAAACAGGAAGTGATCCATTCCATGATAAGCAAACGAAGCACCCCCTTGAAAAGTTCTGTTGTATCAGATGATATTCCTGCAAATTTGGCACCTTCTTAGCAAGTTCGGTTGTATCAGACCTCTCAGGACTTCTAACACAAGCAGATTTGGTAGCATGGTCAGGTGCTCTTAAAATTTGCCAGCCTACTTCCGGGGTGGCGCCTCCGGAAAATGGCGGAATTCCCTTCGGACTGAAGGGAACCCGCTGCACGGAGGCTTGGGTCCTGCCGCTACGGCGCAGCGGGGACCCTCAAAAACCACAGGCGGAAGAAGCCTGTGGACGTGGGACTCGGCGGGCACCGAGAGCGCTCTCTCCCTTGTACAGGAGCCCGGTAACGGGCTCCGGAGTTGGAGGTGCGTGGTGCTGTGAGTCGACTGCTTCCTCCGTGCAGCAAAGCCGCACTGCCGTTATCGGAGAGCGCTGCCTTTTTCCTGGACAATTTGGCATCTAAAATATCTATCCGTGAGTACCTGATCTTGGAAGAGTTGAACCACTTTTAAGACTGGTGAATAAACAAATAATATTGGACTTGAAATTGAACTTAATTGGGACTCGGAATGGGAAGGTCTAAACAGGAAGTCGCCTTCCGTTCTTTTGTTACGTGAAGAAAGCAAAGACAAAATATACTAAAGCTTGAAAATTAAATTCTAAGAGAACTAGAATTCAACATCTAAGATTTCTGAACCCCCTTTGACTGCAGGAGAAGAAGGGGGTTGTATTTGGACTTTTCAATCCTGCGGAAGTGAGTTTAAAATAAAGCAATTTTCCACCGCCCTGAACCAGGAGCGGGCTGTCAGAATTGACGTTCTGAAGTTTATCCAGCTCGACAGTTAGTTAAAAGAAGGGTAACATTTTGATTCTACTGCTGCCTCTTGAATTTGGAAGGGGAATTTTGGATAAAGTGTTTCTGGAAAAAGAAAGATTGTTGCTGTTGCTTTTATTCCTTTTAAAAAAAAAAATTTCCATCTAGTGGAATTTAGTGAAATTGCAACGCAGAGAGATTAAAAGAGAAGGACTATTGGACTATTGTCGTGGGAAAGAATTTTCTTCGACCTTGAAGGACAATGCTAGTACAAAGGCTTGAACAATTGTTCCTGGAAGGTTTTTCAAAACTAAGTGCCCAGCTGGACCAGATGCGTCAGGAGACGACCTTGATGATGGAAGTTACCAGAGCACAGCAGCAAACAAATGAAATTCAGTTAAAGGCTATACAAGCATATGAACCTGCTGTAGTGACGGAGGCTTCAGAGATGGAGGGACCTTTGGACGGGCAAGATCAGCCTTTGAACTTGATAAATGAACTTGGGACAAACCAGATTCGGAAAGATGAAATGTGGTCAGATTTGGAAATGGGGGATGGATCGACCCCCCTCCATATGGTTATTTGGACCTTCCGAGTCTAGTGATGGGCTATCAGAGGATTGGAGTAGCCGAAGTCTCCAAGCTTTGTGGAAATTTGAAGTGGTATTATTTGCTGTCTGGCTTGGGCAATGGGTTTGGGATGGACTTGCTGCAAAGGGTCAAAAGCATTTTCTTGCTGGAGCATCCACGACTGGAAGGGAATCATCAACAAGAGTGGCGAAAGGGGCAAGAAAGAGACTTGAGGGCCTCGGATACGAGACAACCAGGTTAAGGAGCCGGATTATCGAGGTTAAAAGGACTGACAATCCCGGGTCCAGGGGAGGGGAGGTTGGAAGCTGACTGGACTGAATTTGACTTATTATTTTTTCCTTTTTATTTTTTAATATTGGGAATGCTTACAAATGTTTGAAGGATGTTGAATGAAATTACATGGCTTAAGTAAGGATTGGTAAATGATTCGTAAAAGGTAATGATGTAAGAATTTGGTAAATATTGAATATAAGCTATGAGTCTTAAAGTTTTTATATGACAAGAGGGAAAATAGAATAAGGAAACGTAATGACAGATTGTTATGAAAAAACAGAAAGGATTTGCTGTAAAATTAAAAATTAAGAAACAAGAGAGGGAGGTGGAGGAAGTCTAGAAAGGAAGTCAATAGAGAAAGTAAAGGACTTTATATTTTTGTTTTTCTGTTTTTCTTTCTTTTTTTTTTTTTCTTTGCGGCTGGGTTTTCTTTTCTTTTTTGTTTATGTACTATTTTTGTTTTTTGTATCCTCAAATTTTTTTTTGGAAATTTTTGTTGTTATTCTTTGAAAACTTAATAAATATCAATTATAAAAAAAAAATAAAATTTGCCAGCCTAAGAAGCAGTATTTCCTATTAAATTATATGGCCACCCATCTGTAAAATTCTCTAGGGAACATACAAAACGTATCTTGTAAAGGTGCTCCAAGGCCCAATTCATCCTTCATTAGATGGAGGATTTGACCTAAGACTCTGGATTGCAAGTTGATCACTGTATTTGCTGCTCACTATCTTCCTATTGTTCATTTTTATCCTTCTGTTTCATTTTTAGATTTAGCTGAATGTAAAAACTTGTTTCATCAAGTAGGCTAGTGAGAAATGGGTATTTGGATGTAGCTTCCTTGTACATACCTCTAAATCTCCATTGGACTTTTTTACAGGAATCTGAGAAGATCATTGCAGAGCTGAATGAGACATGGGAGGAGAAACTGCGGAAGACAGAGGCGATTAGGATGGAGAGGTTGGCACATAAATAAAACCACAATCTATGTTTGCTTGGAGGATCTTAAGCCATATGACGGCAGGATTGCAGCCATATGACGGCAGGATTGCAGCTAAACCTCATTGGCTATCTAGCTTCCAACAGTAGAAAAAGGAGAGTACTTTTACTAAAAAGGAGTGGAGGAATAGTCACAGGAAAGGGCCTAACAGACCAGGTTAAGACCAGAGTTCTGCAGGAATGGCTTTGTTGCTGAAGGATTCGAGAGATATTAACAGGCTTGGCGCACAGCATGTGAGGGAGTGGTGTGAGACATATAGTGTGGGACAGGGGTAGAAGAATGGTAGATCAGGGTCTATTGGGGGATCTCTGGGCGGTTTGGAGTAGATTAGCCAAGGATTTCTGGTTGTTTTTAACTATAG